AGACCAACACATTTATTATTAAACAATATCTGACATTTGCCATTTCCAAAATGGCAATCATAACCATCATGGTCCAACTTTGATACACTAATCAAGTTTCTTTGCAAAGAAGGTACATAAAGAACATCTCTAAGAAAAAGTATGAAGCCATCAGCAAGCTCTAGCGGAAGATCGCCAACGGCCTCAATATCTGCTTGTACTCCATTTGCGACTTTAATGAAACTTTCGCTTCTTTGCAAAGTTCTCATCGAACGGAATCCCTGTAATAAATTAACAACATGAATAGTTGCACCTGAACCAATCCACCAAGTAGATTTTGAAAACTTTACATACAAGGATTCATTTATAAATGTAATGATGTTCTCACCTTTATTTTTCATAATCATCTTTAAGAAATTAGGACAATTCTTTTTATAATGTCCCGTCTTCTTGTAGTAGAGACACTGGTCTTTATCCACTGGGAATTGCTTGTTCTGAGACTGTTGCATGGGACCTTTTCCAGATGACTTGGAGGAAGAGCTGTTATTATAGTTCTTTTTCTTATCTTTTAGGTAGTTGACAGTACCACCCTGTGAAACTTTTATTCTTTCCTCCTCCTACACACACATGGCTATGAGCTTTTCTAAATTCCATTTTTCATGCTGTATGTTGTAATTAACAACAAAGGTGTCAAATTCTTTGGGCAAAGAAGTAAAAATCAAATGAATAAAAAACTCATCCTTGAGTGCCAAATCCATTGGTTTGAGCTTAGATGCCAGATTGCTCATTCTCAGTATGTGCTCTCTAATGCCACTGCCGCCACCAGAGTACCTTTCTGTTACCAGCTGCTTCATCAGCTGGGTTGCATGTCTTTGAAGAGCCAGTGAACTGACTCTTTATTCTTTCTAGGTACTCTGTGATCGTGTCACAGTCTGGAATTGAGCCCACAATAGCAGGCTCAATCGTGTTCTTTATCACTGCCAAACACTTCTTGTTAGCAGTGACCCATTTCCTATGCTCAAGGTCATACGACATCTTTACGGGAGCAAAATCCCGCTCTTTGTTCTGCCATGCAGCATTAGTCTCATCTGTCTCCCTCACCGGTGCCACAGGTTCTCTAGGGCACGGTGTGGTGACAACCCAGTCCACCTCAGCGAGGATGAAAGCCAGGTCTATATTTTTCTTCCACTCAATATAGTTATCACCTTTTAGAGTGGGGATCTCTTTGATACAACTCATCAAGTTGTATCCTCCTGAAAACACAATTCAAATAGTGTGAGAACACAAATAATAACAACAATAATTCCATGCCTTAGTTTAATGTTGGTCAAAATTAAAACATACAATTATTTTATACATTAAATCTACATCACCGTTGGGCAGAAATAGAAATAATGCATAATCATTAAAATTATAATATTGCTATTAACAACGTTGGTCAGAAAATAATAATATCATAATCAACTCATATTTATCTCTTGGCTCTTAAAATCAAATTCTCCCATTGGTTCAATTTAATTAAAAGTCCATAATTACTTTAAATACGCAATGAAACATTAACATTCAATAATTATTTTTCTATTTTTCCGTATAACTTTACTATTTACTTTAACAACAAAAATATCGTTGGATAAATTTTGTATGAAAAATTATCATAAAAATTCAATTCAAATTGATCAAATTGTTTTCTCGGAAAATAAGAAAATCAAAAAAAAGCTGTGATCAGTACTATTTGTTTGGCCATTTTGGCCCGATCCAAAGAATAACGGCTTGCTGACCCAATAAATGCGGCCCATGGCTCGCTTCAATGCCACAGGCCATCCCCCACCAATTCACCGTCATAAGCGGCTGGCGCGCGTTCTCCCGTGCCTAGGCCGCAACTTTGGGCTCGGGCCGGGATTCTACCGAGCAGCGGCGGCACTTTGGGGCCAAAAGAGGCCCGAAAGCCTCCGGCCGTTGATCTCGTGGCAACGAGATCCGACGCAACACAAAGACATGTTTCGAGGAATAAAACCGGCAGCAGAGCCAATGATCCCCTCAAACCCTAACCTCCATTTCCATTCGCACACACTCTCTCTCTTCGCCTCATCGCTCTCCCTTTCTCTCCTCACCCATCACCGAAGCGGCGACCACCACATGGCTGGCAATGAGGTCCCAATGCCGTCGCCATGGCACCCTCGCCGGCGTCGCGGCGCTCCCAATGAGTGTGTGTGCTGCCGAAGGCGGCTCATGGCGCCCTGTGGCCGGATCCCGGTGAGCGGAGCCCCGGCCGGCCTTTCTTTTTTTTCCAGCGGCGGCGTGGATCATGCCGTGCCATGACGGCGAGGTAGGCCACCCCCTTCCCTTTCTTCCCCTTTCTTTGATTCATTTGTTCGGATTTTGGCCCGATTTGCCGATTAGGGTTAGGGTTAGGGTTGGGATGACCACTGTTTTCTTTTTGTCCGATTTGAAATCGGTTCTTTCTTTCCTTTTCCCGAGCTCTCTAGAGTTAGGGTTAGGTGTTTGCTTCTATTGAATCCGAATGAGTTCGAATTTACTTTTCTTTTCTTTCATTTTTCGTTTGTACTCAGACACTCGGCGGCATGCACCGCACCAGCGCCGGCCCGTTCCGTACCAGGCGTCGTAGTCGTAGTGGTAGACACGGCGAGAGCGAGTCAGGTACGGTGCACGCGCGCACCGGATGCATGGTCTGCGCATGCACTTCACGGGGCCACGACACGCGAGCGCGCCGCCGCGCCATTCTATTGGACCGACCTGCAGACTGCAGTCTGCTGCCGACTCATCAATCAGCACGAGATCGCCTGCAGCTGCAGTCCGTGATCGATCGGCGAGAGAGACGACGAGTGAGCGGACCGACCGCACCGATCGGCCGGGTGCATGCCTCTGCCGCCTGCATGCGGCGGGTTTGGCTGCCAACTGCCCCTGTCCTTGCCTGCTCAGATCAGATCACGCACTTCCGTTCGCGGCCGGATTATCCAGGATACGATCGAGATCGATGGCGAATTGGCGACCTCGCTCCGGCCGCCCCCACGCAACCACCGGACCGACGTGGCGCGAGTAGCCAGCTGCAACAGTCGTTGTCGTTGGTCCGGTGTCCGGAGCCGGCCGGCGCGGCGGTTAGGACGATGCCGTTCCTGGCCCCGACCGCGGACCCGGCGGCCGCGCCGTTACGGTGCCCTTATCCTGCCACATGGATCCGCCTCATTGGTCCCCCGTGAGCGCGCACTGTCGTGGTTGATGTGAGGGGTGAATGCGATCCTTGCACTGCAGCCAGACCGCCCGGCCGCGCGCGTCTGCCACTGGCAGCAGGCAGAGGCATGAATACAGTTCATGCATGTGATGCTATTTTGCTACGCTAGCTACCACCAGCCTGCGCGCGGCGGACGGTCGTCTACTCTGCAGTAGACGAACGATGGCGATGGATTCGAGAAGTGGCCGGGCGGGGGTTGGAATTTGGATAGCTGCCTCCGGCTATGAGATGGCCCCCATCCAGAACATGCATGGATGCAGGATTTGTCTGCCTCTTATCACGGCGTGCTACTGTATGTATGTATGTATGTATGTATGTATGTATGTATGTATGTATGTATGTATGTATGTATGTATGTATGTATGTATGTATGTATGTATGTATGTATAAATATAAATAAATAAATAAATGGCGGGCCGGCGCCCTGCAGGCTGCAGCCTCACCCGACGTTACGCAAATGGCACAAATGCATGCATGCACGCTATTACAGTATTACGCATGTATACGCAGGCCGAATTAGGTAGCTAGCTAGTGACTCGGCAACCACAGAATGCATGGGCCTCGACGCGACTTCAATTGGGTCGCCATCTTCGGTCGCTTCACTCGCCTGTCGCCTGCTATGGTAGTAGCTTGTCTCCTGCGGGCATACGGAGTACTACGTAGTAGTATACATGACGTACGATTCTGAAGCAGGACGCCGGCCAGTCGGTGCCTGCCTGCCTGAAAACAAAAGCGTATTAAATTCTCTATACTGCAACAACCGCGAACGCCCTCACAGATCACTCCTTCAGTCTGCAGCGGTAGTAGTCAGCTTCAGTTTTTTTTAACTTTAACAGATTATATATAAAAAATATTAATATTTATAATATATAATTAGTATCATTTAGATATATCGTTCAATATATTTTTGTAATAAACTTATTTAGAGATATAAATGTTGTACGTATTTTCTATGACCCTAATAAAATTAAAAAAGTTTAACATTCACGCATCCCATAACTACGGAGGGAGGGAGTAGGTGGCAACGTGCAGCGCGCCAGCTCGTTGTTCTCGTTTTTCAACCACCACCAACTTTGCTGCTCAGGCGCGTCCTTGAGCCTTGGAAATAAAGCTACAGCAAAGTCGTCGTCTTCTCCAACCGTGCCGGTACCCTTGACGACGACGAGCTCTGTCGCAAAACTAGGAAACATGGATGGAGCTAGCCGGTCCCGTTCCTGCACCCCCACACCCTCTCGACATCGCCATCCGCCTCCGTCGCTGCCATGGACCTGGTATTCCATATCCTTTCCTTCCTTCACCAATGGCGCTCGAGGCCCGCCCTCTAATGAATGGCTCATTTGCATCCCCTTTTCGGCCCAGTATGTGCCCCAGGCCGTCCATTACGTAGGGCCCATAGAGAAATCAATCAGTGGGCCTAAGTCCACACACACAACCGGGCACCAATAGGCCTTTCCCGAGCGAAGTTTTCATGGAAGCCCAGATTGGAAAGGAACGGAAGAAGGGAAAACACCCGCACCACCATCCTCAATCGCCACAGCAACAACGCCCAACCCGCTGAAACACGGCTCCAGATCCGGCGGCCGGTGGCGGGCTCCGCGCAACCAACGGCGCTGATCCGCTCCTCCGCCATCTCCGTCCATCTCGGCATCTCCGATCTCCATCGATCACCGCCAAGAGGTAAACACTCCCAAACACCGTCGTGTGACGTGTCGTCGTCTGGGTTCCGATCTCGTCTCACGGGCGCCACCATGGCGGCGGCCAGGGTCTCGGCATGTCGGAAGCGGAGGCCGGCGGCGGCAGCGGCAGCGGCGCGGCGGGGGGGAAGGAGCAGGACCGCTTCCTGCCGATCGCCAACATCGGGCGCATCATGCGTCGCGCCGTGCCGGAGAACGGCAAGATCGCCAAGGACGCCAAGGATTGCATCCAGGAGTGCGTCTCCGAGTTCATCAGCTTCATCACCAGCGAGTAAGTGCCCGGTGCCCCCTCGCCCGTGATCCGATCCGTCTCTCCAACTTCGGTGCGCTGCCGAGGGTGCCTCTGATCGAGTCGTCCGTGATTTTGATCTCTGCAGAGCGAGTGACAAGTGCATGAAGGAGAGGCGAAAGACCATCAACGGCGACGACATCATCTGGTCCTTGGGCACGCTCGGCTTCGAGGAATACGTTGAGGCCCTCAAGATCTACCTCAAGAATTACCGGGAGGTATCATTCAGACCTCCTCCTCTTTCCTCCAGCTCATGTTTACTGGGTATTCATTATATTATGTGTTGAACTGCGAGGGCGCAATGTGCGTGTTTAGGATGCCTGACTTGAACTAGAGGCTCTATATGCTCATTTGGATTTTGGAGTCATCGGAGCATTGCGCATATATAATTATAGTTACTTGAGCCTATGATAGGCGAGGAAGGGTGAAGTCACTAGGCATACTGATACTGATGTGGGTTGGAAATTACTGATACCGATGTGGGTTGGAAATTACTGATGCTGGTGTGGGTTGGAAATTGATTCTGCCATGTTGTATTCATGCAAAAGGGGTGTTGATAATTGGTATGAGAGTGTACTCTTCAAGGGCTTCACTTTAGTGTGTTATGTGTTACGTGCTGCATCACATGGGTTGGTTCAAACTGCATTATGTCTTTGAATGGCGTGACAGAATTGTCAACAGTAAACTTCCCTGAAAATTTCTAGATCTAGAGGCTAGAGCATGTTCTTTTTATAGTCTATAGTCTACACCCTGTCATTATTGACTTTGTGGTGAAAAATGTGTGCTCACTCAACTACAAGAGTGCCTGTTTTCCAACACAAAGCATCTGGATGCATGTTGGTTGAGAAGTTGTGGGGTTAGCAATTAGATGATTGTTGGATAAATGAATTTCTCAACTTTACCAGGGCTAAGCAAAATAACTCTTTTACTGTCAATGTCACATGTACTTGTGTGATTTCCAGTTTGTTTGCCTATAGTTTTGCATTGTGCTCCAGACTTACCATTTGCTACAGTATTAAGTTGTTTCCTTACAGAATCATTTTTCTCCTATGCTGATGGGTTGTTTTTTATTTTCACCATGGACAACGAACATCGAATGTTTATTATCCTTGATGGCATTGAACTTGAAGACAGAGGTAATCTTTGCATATCTTTGTGAGTGTTGGTAATTCATTGTCTTTTTGTACGATGATTGACTGAATTATGTACTTTTTTCCAACATCTTGTAGGGTGACACAAAGGGTTCAAAATCTTCTGATCAGAATGGAAAGAAACAGATTTTACTCAATGGTGAACCTGCATCATCGGTAATATTTACTTTCTGGTTTCAAAACTGCCATCATATCATTTTTGAATTTGAACAGGGTTTACTTCGCATCTTTTGTTTCTAATTTGTACACCATTTTCTTGATGTATCTTCTATTTCAATTGGGATAGTCCTTCATGTCCTAATAGCATAACAGATATCAGGGTTCTCTACATGCCTCGCCTGTCAAAGCTCACGTACACTATTTCAGTACTTGTCATGAGGCATAGATATAAATTTCATGAAGAAGCTTTCTTGACTCACATTATGATTCATTGTGTATTATAACTAATCAGCACATTCTGTTTGGTCGTTCTTCCCTTAATGTTGTACAGCATCTGGTACACCACGCTGATAAATGTTAATCTTTAGAAACCTGAATGTAGTTCTGCCATCCGATCACTAGCAACTGTACTTACAAATTAGAATCATCTGGTGAACTACAGAAAAGGAACTTAAAATTATATTACTAGTTAGGACTTCTGTACAATGACCAATATTTGCTTAGCATAGCAGTCCGATATGATTTTGAGTTTTCCAACTGATTCTTGGGGTCTGCTATATTTTTGAAATCTGTAGATAGACTAACTTGTGACTAATTAAAATTCTGATGAACCAAACATCGGTTGCTTTTTCATTACAATTTTCTAAAAGCTGGGTTACTTCGTAGCAGATTCTGTCATTTCTAGAGGTACTCCATATATCAGTTGGTAGATTAGGATTTTTTGTCCATTTAGTTCTATTGTTTAGGAGGTCAAACCTTAAAAACTACAGACATCAAGATCTTTTTTTTTGGAAACACGTAAGCTATATGTGTAGTTTTGTATTAGAAAACATTTGCAAAATCTCAAAAGTTTGGAGGATTTTAAGAACACATTTTTGAAGATATTAGCGGTCAAAGACATATGGGCCTATTCGGCTGCTGATTGTAGGGCTGCTTTGGCAGCCATGGTACAGTACCTTGCTCTAACCACAGAAACAGCCAATACTATGAAAAGTAAAACATGCTAAGTATTTTTGACCGGGGGTAGTAATATCCATATCCTTTGATGATAGCTTTGGTCTTTATGCCTTCTTGGGGGCCTAACTGAAAATGGTACAAACTAACAATTTTGCCTTCTGATGACAGTTTGACGGCATGTAGGATGGAGGGCGGTGGAAGTGATTGGCACAGCAAACCCATTTGATCAAGCAGAGCATATGCCATAGTTGTTTGATGGCACCTAAGATTGAGTGAAATGTTACAGTAAAAGGGACTCGCCATCAGTGCCCCTCTACAAGGAGCTTCCAAAATTTTGTTATTTATGGATGTTAGCTCTCATGAAATTATTATCTTCTGTTATTGGGGTGTACAAACTTCCCTTCTTAGGTCATAGACCTGGGGTGTTTAGATTCACCTCTTAAACTTTAGTTGCTGTCTCATCGATGTGTTGACACATGCATGGAGTATTAAATATAGACTAATTACGAAACCAAATGCACAGAATGAGACTGTTTTGTGAGATGAATTTTTTAAACCTAATTAGTACATGATTTGATAACGTGGTGCTACAGTAATATGTGCTAATGATAGATTAATTAGGCTTAATAAATTCGTCTCACGGATTACTGATGGATTCTGTAATTTATTTTTTTATTAGTATTCAAATATCCCATGTGATATCCCTATATGACATATCCTAAACTTTAGACACCGGATCTAAACACCTCCTTATATAGTTCAATTGTAGAGTGCTGTATGATTCTGTCCAGCCATGGCAATTTGACGCCACGCTGCATGAATGAAAGCGCCAAATCGGTGGTACTTCGCAAATATCCTGTTTCTACTGTAATGGACTGCACGCAGTTGAACACCTCACGTGCCCTCTGTTCTCGACTCTGAGAAGGTGCAAGTATTGGTTGAGAGTCGTACAACCCAAGATCCTGTCATGCAACAGATTTACAAAGAAAAAAAAGAAGGCAATAAACACTGACGAATAGAGACTTCCATGGCTGCAGCCTCTTACCCATGCTTGTGTAACGCCTTGGTATACAGTAAGTCTCATGGTCCATATTTATGGCCTGTTCGCTTGTCTTATAATCCGATTTTTTTTGGCTTGTCTTTTTAACATGAATAATATTTTTCTCTCACAACAAATTAGCTGGAACAGTGTTTTAGCTTGTTTTTTTAGCGAAGCGAACATGGCTTATATCTCTTATAAAGATAAACCTCACTAGTAATTTATCTTGCCATGCAAAATATTCATATCAACATCCACTAGCACATTCAACTATCTCGTCATGTAAAGTGTCCACGTCAGCATTCACTAACACATCCAACTAACATATGTCATTATATCTTCATTCAAGCTATTCACATTAGCAAACAACATCGGCCATGTTTGCTTATCTTATAATCCGTCTTTTTCAGCTTGTTTATTCAGCCGGAACAATATTTTTCTCTCACAACAAATCAGCCGGAACAATGTTTCGGCTTGTTTTTTCAGCTAAACGAACGGAGCAATCATTTACTAACATATATTTAATTGTCCACATCAGAATGCTAAAAATCATCCACTAACATGTATTATGATATTTATTCAATCATATTAGTAAATATAAATAATATAATTTCACCAGCGATTCCAACGGCGACGCGCGGGGCGTTCTTCTACTTATTTCTTATTTGTCAAGACAATAACAAATCCTCAAGTTAACAATAGTACACTTTACAATTTATGAAGCTTCGAGAACAGTGAGGGAGGACGTTGAGCGTACATTTAGGGCGTTGGGAGTCTATCCTTAGCAGCTATGTCCCCGTTCTTGAAACAAGAACGAGAACTTGGAGTATCATTTTATAACGCGGAAATAGGAACGTTTTCATTCCTGGAACGTAGACGTTCCTACAACATGAGGATGGTAGCCTGGGCTGTGTTTCTGTTCCCGGGCTGCTAAGGTCATGTTATGTAAGAGATCCGTACGAATAAACATCAAAATAACAAAAACATCCACAAAACCAAATAATGACGACTCAGGCTTGTGTTTTAGCAGCAAACTCACCCGGATCTGGTTGCGACCCACCTAATTAGCGAACTACCACTGAGCTAGAATCCATCGGTCCTACACCACCCGTAACTTTCCCTTTTTTTTTTTGAAAAAAAAATATTTCTACAACTTTCTTTTTTTGAAGTTACAAAGTTATACGGATAAATCAGTGCCATGACTTTTTTTTGTAAAAAAATATTTTCACAGTTTTTCTTTGGAAAGTTACAAAGTTATACTCATAACTTTTATGTACTAGCAAATATGCAAGTGCGACACGCACGTGTTTCTAAAAACTATTTCAAATGCAATGCAAATGTTAATTGAATTGTCGATATACAATAAAGGTAGATGCCAAGTGCTTGATCGATTTGATCGGGTCATGTAGAACGAGGTTCAAATCGTTTGTTCGTTAGGATGCCTGAGCTGCATATATCAATAAACTTTGACTTGATACATTTTAAACGGCTCGTGTTATCCCTATCTTACCCTGTTTTCGTACTTTTGTCGATCCATCCTCGTATGGGTGAAGAAACCCCATCCTTGTATGAGTGGAGAACCCGTCATAGTCTCAGTTGTGGTACCGGAGGCTCTAGAGAGATCAGAGAAGACAGCACTCATCTTGAAGTGAGGTTACTACTTATATGTTTTCAACATTTATCCTTTCCATAATTGGCTACTCAAAGTTTACTGTAGCCATGTACAAACAATGTGAGGAATTTTGACTTTATTAATTATGTAATAAGATTGTGCCTAAATGAACAGATATAAAATAACGTGATATAAATAACAAGCATTTGTAGATGCAAAATAATTATGACTTGAATAATGTAGTATTAATTTATTTAGCAGGTCCATCTAAACATAACTTTATGTTTTTTTTTCTTTTTGGCCCCATAAAAACGTAACTTTATTTTTTTTTTTTTGTCCACATAAAGTACAGGATAAAGCACATTTACATGATCGTTTTTTTCATCATTTCTTACAAACATGTTTAGATTTTTGTTTTTCACCTTTTGTGTCATACATTATTTTTCGTGGGTGCCCTAAGACACCTGTGCTCGGTTTCACTGGCAGCGCGCCTTTCTCATTTCATGCTTTGCTTTCCCCCTTTTCTGTCATGTTTGCATGAATGCAAGTGATTTGATCAAAACGGATCGTTTATTAATTAAGAGCCTAGTTTAAGGGTTATATTTTTTTTATTTATTTCGTGCAGTGCAAACATTTTATTCACGTGTGTAGTTTTTTTTGTTTGAAACTGTCACCAAATAATAAAATAATTAAAATGTTAAACTAAGCTACATAGCCCAATGAGCCCATTGACAAAGAAGCCTGGCTTCAGAACGTCCCAAACCCACTTTCAGGTGGGACAACCCTCGCCCTCGCCGGTGGTGGCGAGCGCGGACATGGCTCCGGTTAGAACAAGTCCGATCCATTCAGGACTCAGGAGTCCAAGGAAAAAAAATGGTGCAGGTTGAGAATAGAAGTCGTACTTGACTCGTGTAGGTAAATTAAACCTGACTTATGGCGGATGGGATTATAGACGTACCGTGAGACGTATTTGAGATTAAATATGAGTCTTATATCTTACATGTAAGATCATCGATGATGGATGGCTCTTATAGCACGACGTGTAGATCGAACGGTTGTTATAGAAGAAGAGTAAGATCACGTATGACGGAGGACTCATATAGCACGGCGTATATATCAAATGATTATTATAGAAGGAGAGCCCCTTAAAAAAAACTCCCTCTCTTATAGTGTGATGATAACTTTTGGGGGATAAAACTTATCACTATGCACATAACTTTATGTATGATATGTTGTGGAATAAAATTTATCATAATAATTTCTTAAAAAAATACAAAGTTATACATAAAACTTTTATGTATAACATTTCACAGAACAAATGTATCGCCATAATTTTTTATCATAAATTTGATATAGTTTTCTACGTAATTTTAGAGAAAATTTATCATGATAACTTCAATATCTTTATAACCCAGTTTATTCATACTATTATTGGACAAATTTATCATAATAATTTCTCATATAAATTTACCAGTTTATTCAAAACTATTATTGGACAAATTTATCATAATAATTTCTCATATAAATTTTCTGCCACAATTTTTATATCGGCATGGCTAGCGCCCGGACGTCCGAACACGGATGGACGTGCGCGTCCGGATGCCCGTGCAACCTGCCTCGGTCCGCCTTCGTCCCGCCCCATGCGCGCACTCCACCCTCGTCTCTGCTCTCGCGGGTCCTTACCCTGACCCTCTTCTCTCTATCCGCGCTGGCGGCACTCAGGAGCCGCGATGAGCGATTGAGGACGAGCATGCCCCTAGTCCACCCCGACCGTAGCACCCTCACCCGCCGTCGCCCCGTCACGCCGAGCGCCCCATCCACTTGCAACATGAATAAAACATTTGAATGCAACATACGTCTGAAAATAAATGAAATATTTAGAACATGCACTTGCAACATGTGTGTGAAACACATGAAACATCCAAATAAAACACTTGTAACTTGCAACATGAAACCACTTGCTGCAACATAAGATTGAAACAGCTGAAACATTTGGAACATACTGTTGCAACATATGTGTGAAACATATGCAACATCCAGATAAAAAACGAATGAAGCATACGTCTGGAAAAAAGATAAAATATTTGAACAAACACTTGCAACATGCCTCTGAAACACTTGCAACATCCACTGATCTACTTTTGCAACATCAAGATGAAATAATTGCAACATACATCTGAAACGTCCTGAAACACTTGAAACAAACATATGGAACATAGGGGAGAGGAAGGCTGGGGCCGGTCGATTCTGACCGTCGGGCCATGAGCCAGCGGCGAGCCACAGCACACGAGCACCACCAACACCAGCCGCGCTTTGTGGGTTCCCTTGGCTCGGCCATGGAAGACCTGAGGCGTCATGGCATGTGCGCCTCAACGGCCACGGCGAGGTCAGCGGCGCGCGCGGTGGTGATGGTGGGCGGACGGACGGCGAGGGAGTGAGCAGCACAGGTGACTGGGACGGGGCACAGCGCGACCGACGATGGGTGCGGGACGGTGGGGGAAGGGCACAACGCGTCAACTGACAAGCGCGGGGGAAGGGGCCGTGGCAGGGCGGATCGGGGCGGACATATGTGTGTCCACGCACTCATGCCGAGACGGGCGGATAAGCACAGTGTTTTTTTAGAACGAGCGGATGAGTGGACGAGGATGAGCCACATTTGGACGGGACGGACCACATGGCCAAATATTATCGTTTTTATATAATAATTTCACAAATGACATGACTTATACACCTAAAGTTTTGTCATCTAATAATTTTTTACATAACTTGTTTCGGATCAACTTATAAATCGAAAGGTTACTATAAAAACCTAGAATATACATTAATACATACACAACTGCCGCCGCACGGCGCTGAAAAAGTGAGCGGAACTGTCGTGATCGTCAGTGACTCCGGCATAGTGCCGCCGGCCGCCTCCATCGCTGCCATAGTGCCTTGGACTTGGTATTCCCTTTCTTTTCCTTCCTTCACCAACGGCGCTCAAGGCCCGCCCTCTGTTAGAGTTTCGAAAGAATGGGCCTATTTTCATCTCATTTTCGATCCAGTCCGTTTCCTAGGCCGTTCATTCCGCAGGGCCCATGGAGAAATCAATGGGCCTGAGTCCACGTACACAATCGGGCACCAATAGGCCTTTTTTCTAAAAAAAACGTGGAAGCCCAGAAGGGAATGGTAGAGATGCAGATTTTCTTGGGTCAAACCCAACGACCCATTACCCAACTTGATAATTCTAGTGTTAAAACTCTATAGGACCAACCCACTAATTTACTAGTATTATTTAGGCGCTGTTCGGTTCCTGGGGATTGGTCAGATTCATTACTAAAGTTTATATAAGTATTTCACAGTCGAAATGTTTTCAGGTCTGGATTTGCTCTAAACGAACGGAGCCTTATGGTGCCAAATTAGGTATAACAGTGTGGGTCATTGGGTTACCTATTGGGCCTCGCCCGACGCCGATCTCTCGCTGGCAAACTCCACTGTGCCGCCCTCATCGCCATCGCCATGTTCGCCCGCCCTCTCTCGGGGTCGGGAAGGAGTGCGCGGGCGCGAGGACCGCCCGGGGAAGAGCACGCGCGTTCGGGAAGGGCCACGGGTGCCGCCGCCGTCGGGGTGCGAGCCTGGCCGGGACGCAGCCGGGACCGGGACGCGCAGCCGGTGGGGCGCGGGGGTGGCCAAGATGCGCCGCCGTGGGGCACAGGCATGGCCGGGATGCGCCGCCGGGATGCGCCGCCGCGGGTTCGCGGGCGCTGGCGCGAGGCGCCGCCGCCGTGATGTGATGTCAAGCCGTGCCCGAGCGCTGCATCGCTCGCCTCGCCTCGTCTGCGCCATCGCCTGGCTAGTCCTAGTCCCGCAGCTGTGCGTATGTTTCTTCTCTGCTTTCGATCTGCAGCTGTCCGTGCCTCCACCATTGACAGCCGTAGCAGCAGCAGGTGGCCTGGCCACCACCCACCAAAAGCAAGGCCGGCCGGCAAGGTGCAGGAGCTGTCTGCATGCTGCTGTGCCTCGCCCCCGTCTGCATGCCGCTGGAAGAGGCAGCCAACTACGTGGTGGCGCTGCACTCGGAGGGAGGGATGTCTGGTGTTTCTGGGTAACCCAGTTATTGTTGGGTCTTTTTTTTTTGGGTCAACCCAATACTCAGATTCTTTACATTGGGTTAAGTGGGCTTCGCACTGGATGACCCAAAATCGACCCACTTGCATGGCTAGGGAAGGGAAGAGAGAAGAAGAAGAAGAAAAAAAGAATGTAAACATCAGCACCCGCACCACGATCCTCGATCGATCGCCACACCATCAGGCGGCCGGTGGCGGCCTCCGCGCAACCAACGGCGCTGATCCCCTCCGCCATCTCCGTCGTCCATCTCGCCATCTTCCCCCATCGATCACCGTGTCCATCGCCAGCCAAGAGGTAAACCACTGCCGCACCTCCCAAACACCGAGCCTCTCTCTCTCTCTCGTGTCGACGTGTCGTCGTCTGGGTTCCGATCTCGTCTCACGGCGCCACCATGGCGGCGGCCAGGGTCTCGGCATGTCGGAAGCGGAGGCCGACGACGGCAGCGGCAGCGGCGGGCGGAAGGAGCTGGACCCCCCCTTCCTGCCGATCAACAACATCAGGCGCGTCATGCGCAGCGCCGTGCCGGAGAACCGCAAGATCGCCAAGGACGCCAAGGAGTCCGTCCAGGAGTGCGTCTCCGAGTTCATCAGCTTCGTCACCATCGAGTCGTCCGTGATTTTGATCTCTGCAGAGCGAGTCACAAATGCATGGAGGAGGGGCGAAAGAGCATCAACGGCGACGACATCATCTGGTTCTTGGGCACGCTTGGTTTCGTGGAATACGTCGAGCCCCTCATGCTCTACCTCATGAAGTATCGGGAGGTATCGTTCAAACCTCCTCCTCTTTCCTCCAGCTCCTGTAATCCTGTTCACTCGGTATTCATTATATTATGTGTTCAACTGCGAAGGCACAATATTTGCGTGTTTAGGATGCCTGACTTAGACCTAGAGGCTCTACATGTTCATTTGAATTGTGGAGTCATCGACACATTGGGCCTGTTTGGTTTTGTTGCCCTTGCCCAGGCAACTTTGACTGGCCAGGCTGCAATCCAGGCCCTCGATTTCGAGTGCCTGGTTATAGTTACTTGAGCCTCTCATAGGCGAGCATGGGTGTGGTAACTAGGTATACTGATGCTGATGTGTCTTGGAAATTGATTGTGTCTTTGTTGTATTCATGCAAAGGGGGTGTTGATGTGAGAGTGTACTCTTCAAGGGATCGACTTTAGTGTGTTATTTGCAGCATCACATGGGTTGGTTTAAACTGCATTATGTCTCTGAATGGTTTGGAAAAATTGTCAACAGTAAACTTCCCTGAAAATTTCTAGGTCTATATATAGTCTACACACTGTCATTATTGACTTCGTGGTGAAAAATGTGAGCTCACTCAACTACAAGAGTGCCTGCTTTCCAACACAAAGCATATGGATGCATGCTGGTTGAGAAATTGTGGGTTAGCAATTAGATTGTTGGATAAATGAATATCTTACCATGGCTAAGCTAAATAAGTCTTCTTACTGTCAATGTCGCCTGTACTTGCGTGATTTCCACCTGTAATCTTGCATTGTCCTCCAGACTTATCATTTGCTATAGCATCAAGTTGTTTCCTTACAGAATCATTTTTCTCCTATGCTGATGGGTTGTTTTTTTATTTTCGCCATGGACCACGAACATTGAATGTTTATTATCCTTGATGGCATTGAAGACAGAGGTAATCTTTGCATATCTTTGTGACTGTTGGTAATTCATTGTCTTTTTGTATGACGATTGACTGAATTCTGTACTACTTTTTCGAACATCTTGTAGGGTGGCACAAAGGGTTCGAAATCTTCTGATGATCAGAATGGGAAGAAACATAATTTACTCAATGGTGATCCTGCATCATCGGTAATATTTGCTTTCAGCTTGCAAAACTGCCATCAAATTGCCCTCGTCCAAACCTGTTACTTCGCATCTTTTGCTTCTACTAATACCTACACCATTTTCTTGATGTAAACTCTATTTCAATTAGGACAGTGCTTCTACTACAGAATGGACTTGTTGTCCCGGGCGGTAACAACCTTTAGTCCCGTTCTCTACATCCCGGCTAAAGTGTAGAACCATGCTTATCGAGCTTTCAGCTAAAGAGGGACCTTTAGTCATGTTGGTAAGGCCTCCATATATAAAATGCATGAAGAAGTCCCGGTTGGTAACTTGGCTCACATTAAAGGTTCTTTTTTTTTTTTTTTGTTTAATTTGTTTTCATCATACCTATTTGTTTAATATATAATATGTTTTTTATGTACGTATTCTATAATTGATCGTTCTTCCATCTAATTCTCATCTTGAGCATTATTATATTCAATAAAGTATGAAACTATATATATTATAGATATATATATATATATATATCTATATACAACACTTTCATAATCTTGTTCTCGAAAATAACGATATCAATAAACATTTAATTAGAATCATTTATTCCTTAGGATCAAAGTAGAACTCGCTCAAATGATTTTCTAGAAGATATCCTGCTATTGACTTTGAACTTTTTGTATGGTCTTTTTGTATGACCAATATTTCAACCATTCATTTTGCATTTGAAATAAAAGGAAAAGTATTAATATTAGTATATATATTTTCATTTAAAATAAATAAAATTGATATATACGCACTCGAGGACAACTTGATTCTTCTTATGGTCTGCCATGATAAATTCACAAATATGTAGTATCCAGACAAGTTATTACCGAAAGAACACCACTGTATTTGTGAAGAAGATTATTCTCATCATCTCACACGTAAATTGAAGTACGATATAGTAATTAAACACGTGGGGAAGTGTATATAGTACAACTTATGGTATTTCAACTACATTAAGTGATGCCTTGCAATCCTTGCGATGTTGTCAATAAACTCTTTCCAAACCTTATGCACCAATAATGTACGATCAATAAATTATGGCAAAGTCTATTCAATTGGTTGTGCGCGAGAGATCGATTACCCCGGATAATGTCTATCATATTTGGTATAGTTCTATTTTTTCAACGAGTCAAAGATTAAACCTTTGAGTTTAACTCAATAACAATGAGTATCCAAAGAAAAACACATTGGTTTATATATGTCTAGATTTGTATTGATATTACATAAAATGTGTAGACTACATTAAATGTCAAAGTTGTTTGGAGTATTGTTTCTTGTCGTGGCTGCTTCACGAAGAACATCATGATCTTGAAGATACACTTAGCCGTCAGATAATGAGAGGGAGTTCGGCCTCGATCAGTTTAGAACCGAACGAGAGGCCGAGGATCCGACCGCTTGTCATCTACTTTCTATACTTATTTTTTGCAAACTAGTGTAAATTTCATATTTTCTAAAATGATATATTTAACCTAAACTAGTACGGATTTCACATGTTTCAATAAATAACCATCCATACTAGTTGACCTTGCTTACGTGATCATCTCATGAGCATTTCTCCACCGGACAACCTTTTTGGGAAGAGCTCCGATTCTATGAGAAAGGGAACACGGTCTTCCACGGTGTTCGTAGAATCAAAGCTCCTCCTTGACGTCCGTTACTACCGCTCGGAGGAGAACATGCTCGACGAGATGAACACGGTCCGCAAAATGGTTTCAAATTTTCTAATAATTTTCTAAGTTTTTCATTTCATGGAAAAATTAATTCTAAGATCACGTAAGCCACCGGAGACGAGGATGGCGGGTGCTCAAGGAGGACGGCGAGGCGTGATTTTGATGAACTAATTTAACTTTTGTTTATCCAAACATATATGCAAATCATAATGTGATTTTGAGCTAAAAATGACATATAAAATCATAATAAAGTCCAACATATAAAGTTACACATGCATCTACATTGTAAAATGAGATAAGCCACTGACAAAACATAAGAGGATTAAGTTTCTTACCACCAAAATCGAAGAGCAACACTAATGGAGGGGGAGAGAGCAAGAACAACAGCAAGCTGAAGAACAGAGGCAGTGAGTTTGAATGCAATGGCTCGGGCTTGGGAAGGAAGAAATGAGCTGAATTATAGGCCGGGATAATTAGTCCCGGTTAGGGGTCCAAACCGGGACTAAAGATTAATCTTTATTCCCGGGGCATTACCCAAACCGGTACCAACCGGGACTAAAGGTAAACCTTTAGTCCCGGTTGGTAATTTGTGGGACTAAAGATCCCTGCCCCGCGGAGAACCGTTGGGCAGGAACCTTTAGTCCTGGGGGCAAAAAATGCCAAGGCTAATGATAAATTGGGATATCGTTATAAAGTATGTTCTCTAGTAGTGAGTGCTTCTTGTCCTCATAGCGTAACAGGGTTCTCTACATGGCTCGCGTGTCAAAGCATGCTTACACTGTTTCAGCACTTGTCATGTGGCATATATATAAGTTGCATGAAGAAGCTTTCTTGGCTCACATTAGGATTCTTTGAGTATCATACCTAATCAGCACATTCTATTTGATCGTTCTTCCCTTAATGTTGTATGGCATCTGGTACACGGTGCACCACACTGGAAAATGTTAATCTTTAGAAACCTAAACGTAGTTCTGACATCCGATCACTAGCAAACTGTACTAACAAATTAGAATCATTTGGTGAGCTACAAAAAGAAATTAAAATGATACTACTAGTTAGGACTTTTGTACGATGACCAATATTTGTTATTTTGCTTAGCACGACAGTTCAATATGATTTTGAGTTTTTCAACTGATTCTTAAGGTCTACCATATTTGGAAATATGTAGATAGACGAACTTGTGACTAATTAAAATGCTGATGAACCCAACACATGGTTGCTTTTTCATTACAATTTTATGAAAGCTGGGTTACTTCGTAGCACATTTTGTCATTTCTAGAGGTACTTCATATATCAGTTGGTCGATTAGGGATTTTTTGTCCATTTTAGTTCTATTGTTTAGGAGGTCAAACCTTAAAAACTACTTTGGAAACACGTAAGCTATATGTCTAGATTTGTATTAGAAAATATTTGCAACAATGTCATAAGTTTGGAGGATTTTAAGAACACATTCTTGAAGATATTAGCGGTCAAAGACAGGTATAGAAGACCATGAAAAGTAAAACATGTTAAGTGTTTTTGACTGTAGGTAGTAATATCCATATGCTTTGGAGTTTGGACGATAGCTTTGGTGTTTATGCCTTCTCGGGGGCCTTACTGAAAATGGTTCAAACTAACAATTTTATCTTTTGATGACAGTTTGACGGCATGTGGGACGGAGGGTGGTGGAAGTGATTGTGTCGGGCGAAAAGTGACCAACACGTAAATATTTGTAGTTTTATCGTACGTTGTGATCGATGTAGCCTAGCACTCAATGACACAGGGTTCATACTGGTTCAGGCAACGTGCCCTACGTCCAGTTTGAGTCGATCGGTGACTTTATTCCTAAGCCCAGGTGCTTGAAGTTTGCTGTGGGGTTACAAACGAGAGGGAGTAAGATGGGGGTATCAGAGGTCTGGTCGGACTCCGGACCGAAGGGCCGAGAGTGACGGGAGCTCCGACGTGCACTAAATGTTGCTCCGTTCGGCTTTAGAGTCCTAGAGCCGAGCAGAGAGAATCGGAATAATCCGTATGTTGTTCGTTGGAATCGCTTGATCATTGTTCGACTCGTCCGAATCGATAGTCCTTTCTTTTGGAGAGAGCGCATCCCCTTTTATAGATGAAGGGGACGGCTTTACAAGAGAAAGAGAGTGTGTGTGCTACCTAGTCTTGTTACCCACGCTGTTGGGTACAAAACGGTTTGTCGGCGTCCACAACATTGTTGACGCTTAGATGCATGTGGTAGGCTCCATCGTCTTTTTCTGGTATGGCAAATGTCGGCGCCTACCATACTATAGGATAAATGTCGACGCCCACAACAATTTTCATGTTCTGACATGTCTAGAAGGTTGCGGAGCATTCTTCTAACATGGCCTGACAGTACTGTCCTGCAGGTGTGCAGGGTACGGTCTTTGGTATTGCGGTTGACTTGAGAGCCCTGCCTTACTTGCTTCGCCTGATTCTTTGGGTCCTTACCGAGCGGGTGTCCCCGTTCGGTCGTTTCCCAGTCAGCTCCGACTGCGCTGGTCCGAGAAGAGCTGTAAGCAGAGGTTCGGTGTACTTTCGGTCGGAGAGGCGTGTCAGAGTTGGAAGTGAGCGTTGTTCCCCCTTGGCCAGGCCTTCCAGTCGGAGAGGCGGGTCGGAGTCGGAAGCGAGCGTCGTTCCTCCTTGACCAGGCCTTCCGGTCGGAGAGGCGGGTCGGAGTCAGAAGCGAGCGTCGTTCCTCCTTGGCTAGGCCTTCCAGTCAGAGAGGCGGGCAGGGGTCGGAAGCGAACGTCGTTCTTCCTTGGCTAGGTCTTCCGGTCGGAGAGGTGGGCCGGAGTCGGAAGCGGGCGTCGTTCCTCCTTGGCCAGGCCTTCCGGTCGGAGAGGCGGGCCGGAGTTGGAAGCAAGCGTCGTTCCTCCTTGGCCAGGCCTTCCGGTCGGAGAGATGGGTCGGAGTCAGAAGCGAGCATCGTTCCTCCTTGGCCAGGCCTTTCGGTCAGAGAGGCGGGCCTGGGTCAGAAGCGAACGCTGTTCCTCCTTGGCCAGGTCTTCTGGTCTGAGAGGCAGGCCGAAGTCGGAAGCGAGCACCGTTCCTCCTTGACCAGGCCTTTCGGCCGGAGAGACGGGCCGGAGTCAGAAGCGAGCGTCATCCTTCTGGCCTATCGTTCGCAACGTCGTCTGCTGGGCCGAGCTTTTGTTGTGAAGCAGGTCCATGAGGGACCCTAGGTTTATGAACCCGACAGGAGCCCTCGGGCGATTCAGGTAGAATCGTTTGGGGGATTTTTTTTTATCTTGACGGCGGGTGCACTCGAGCGTACCCGCGGGTGTAGCCCCCTAGCCTCTGGGCGATTCGGGTAGAATCGTCTTGGGGGGTTTTTCGTCTTGGCAGCGGGGAATTTTTGTTTTGACAGCGGGTGCGCGCGAGCGCACCGCGGGTGTAGCCCCCGAGCCCCCAGACGATTCGGGTAGAATCGTCTGGGGGGTTTTTTTGTCTTGGCAGCGAGGGAATTTTCATTTTGACAGCGGGTGCGGGCGAGCGCGCTCGCGGAGGTGTAGCCCCAGCTGCGTTCGACTAGTGAGTCGATTGGAGGCTGAGCATCTTGATACTTTTTCCTAGGGCCATAGACTGCCGTTCGGGGTGTTCGCCCGTGTTTGTCCCGTCCGCGACCTGTGCGGTAGGTTGATTTCCCGAGTTGGTGTCGGGTGACCTGAGCCCTCGAGCCCGTTGGGCTCGGTAGGGGTTGGTCTAGTTTCGTGCATTACCCCGTCCGTGGTTTTCCGCTAATCGGAGGGGCTGAGCTAACGTTGCTTGCCTCGATGGCTCGAGCGACACGCTCGGTGAGCTCTCTAATGGGCACGTTCGAGTGGAATCTGGGTCCGTCGTTCATGACGGGGTTGGCATAGCCCTCATGTGGCATTCCACTGCTCCTTAACCCGCGTCTCGGCAGATGCCCGCGTCATTCCGGAGACCGACTCAGGTGAGCCATCCCCATCTACGCCATGATGGCAAAGAACTTGCCTCCTTGGGCTAGGAAGGAGCTTGATGCAATCTGTAGGAAATTTTTCTAGGCAGGAAGAGATCAATCCATTAGAGGGAAATGCATTGTCGCGTGGACAACTTGCGGTAGGCCGACACAATTCGGTGGTTTGGAATCAGTGATCTCAAACTGGCTGGGTATGCCCTATAGACCCGTTGGCTTTGGCTATAGAAGACTGATCAGGATCGAGCATGGAGCCAGCTGCCGATCCAAACCTCCAAGGAAGTGCAAGCCTTTTTCAAAGCTTCAACCTACACAAGGCTAGGTAACGACCGACAAGCATTTTTCTGGGAAGATCAATGGATCGACGGACAGGACGTGGCCACCATCGCACCATACTTGTATCTGGCAATCCCGCAACGAGTGCGTCGCAAGCAGACCGTCAAAGAGGGACTGCACAACAGAGCTTGGGTGCGCAGCATAGCCAGGGGACTCTCGGTTCAGGAGTTGGTGGATTACCTACACCTTTGGGCAGCAGTCGATGGTATCCAGCTCACTGATGAGGAAGATAAAACCATTTGCGGTGGACGGTGAACGGAACCTACACTGACAACTCGGCGTATAACATGCTCCACACTGGCTCCATTCCATTGCCTAGTCACAAGTTGATCTAGAAGACCTGGGCACCACTACGGATCAAGATCTTCCTTTGGCTGGCATTCAAACACAAGCACTGGATCGGGGATACGAGAGCAAGACACGGTCTTGAGGCCAGGGAACTATGCTACCTATGTGATCAAGGCCACGAAACGATCGACCATATCATTGCGGCCTGTCCATTCTCCAGGGAGGTATGGTTCTATGTCCTTCAAGCTCTCGGCCGACCAACACCGCCCTCATCCCCAACAACGATAATCTGGTGGCGGCGATTGAGGTCCCTGTTCGACGGTGACAAATGAGCTGGCATAGACTCCCTATTCGCGCTTGTCTCTTGGCAACTATGGAAAGAGCGGAACGCACGTTGCTTTCGGGGGTCCTCAGCGGCCATAAGTGAAGTCCTGCAGATCATCAAGGCCGAGGCCGACCAGTGGATTCAAGCAGGTGCATGAGGTCTACAAGCCTTGGCACAGGGCTAGCGCGTGTTGGAACTCGACAGGGCGAAGGATTGACAAATTCCAAGATGTAGCGTGTAATAGAAAACTAACGACCAGGAGCGGCACTCTTGTAATATAAACTCTGCTTCTTCTAATACAATGATATGCACACTCGTGTGTATTCAAGAAAAAAAATTCTGTCCAGTTCAGCAATAGAGCAAATCGGCGGTGTCTTGACCCTACCATCCGATGAACCATCTTAAGATTTAGTTGAGCCAAATCTAAGCGTGCACCTAAATTAGCTTTTTCAGACTTCAAGTTAATGTAATCTCTTGCTTAGTGTAATGACCCAGAAGGGGTTTATGAGTTGTTGCTAAGTCGTAGACGGTATTGAAGATGAATCTTAAGCCCTAGACATGGCTTGTTGTTCATTAGTTCAAGTATAATACTACAACTAACTATTGATTTCCCTGTTCGACATGTGTTCCTATTATTTTCAGGACTCCCACTTCCAAATTGCTCCTAGATGTTAAAAAACACTGAATTATTCGCACCCAACTCCCTCGCACCACCACAACAAATCTGAGCTTCTATGACATTATGTTTTTGACATTGATCACTGAATATATATAAAAATCTAGAACTTATCATGCTTGGATGGTAAATATTGGTTTGTTCCCTATCTTTCGTTTTAAGGATGACCAGTGACGAATCTAACATTTTTCATCACAAATTTTGTAACATTATTGCTTTGTCATGAAATTTGTGAGGTTTCATGTGGCATTATTAGTGTAGGCCTTTTAATCTGTTCTTTGCTGGACGTGATGACGATGATGGTGATCTGTCAATGGGCTCATCTAAAGGGGACAGCTATATATCGGGCAATTGCAGTTTGGGCTTAATTTGGATTGGAGCTGACTCAAGATGGAGGATGGTGTGATAGTTCATCGATCTGTGGTGTCCTTTGTGGAATGCATGTGTTTGAAATGATATATAACGGTGGATGGCAACATGCTTGGGGATCATGTTAACAGGTAACTAGAGTAGGAATACCTGCATGCGAGGACTGTGCCAAATGGACTGTATATTGGGGTTTGGTTCAGCAGCAAGTGATTAATTAATATCTTGGTCAAAGCTTTCGCAAAGTTTTCCGAGGGATGGCAGCAGCACTCAGACTTGAACAGGTCCAAAACCACGGTCATGTACTGTGTTTAACTCGGGTACGATATTGACTGATCAACAGAATAGCAGCAGCTTCTTCACGGCTTCTTCAACATAATAACAGCTCTGACCGTGGTTACTTGTCAAACTACAGGGCCGGCACAAGGTCAAAACGCCAGTGCAATTGCTGCTTCGACTTGCCTGCCTCTTCTCCTAGCTCCTCTCTTGAACAAAACGAGCCTGCAGGCTGCAGCCAAGATACTTGAGCCACGGCGCATCTGCAGCTAGCAATGTCGACGAGGGAGGATGGGAAACGCAAGCCCGTGACCGTGAAGGTCATCGAGACGGTGTACGTGGAGGCCGACACCGCCGACGACTTCAAGTCCGTCGTCCAGAGGCTCACCGGCAAGGATGCCGTCGCCGCCGAGCTGGAGGAAAGCAGCAGCAGGCCTGCTGCACCACCACAAGCTGCTCAAAGCAGGACGGGCCAGGGTCGTTCTCCTGGTGATCGCAAGGCTGCTGCTGGCGCCTCCAGCAAAAGGCAGAACGGGTGAGAGATAGATCGATGTGTGTAATTACTCTACCCTGCATATATACTTTATATATCTTCATTCATGCAAGGTCTTCTTCTTTGATTTCTTCTGTCTCCCTCTTGTTCTTTCTTTCTTTCCTTAATTTGTGAAATAGCTAACGATCAGTTGTTATTTCGTCCGAAACTTATTATACTGTGTTACGATGAACAACACGGCCTTTGCGGTAGCCGGCCGGTGTGTATGTATGAATTAATATGAGATCTGGTAGAAGTTTCCTTCATGTTTAGATCTTCTGTCGCTCTGTCAGCTAGCTATCTGTGGCATTTATTCAACATGGAGTACTATGCTAACCGTAACGAGAACGGCTCTCGTTGTTCACCCTTCACGCTGGCATAGCTATAGAAATAGAATCACATCAAAGGAGAAGGAGCTGGCTACTAGCTAGTAGCAAGCAGTTGAGAAAACTGATCAGAAACTGCATCAAATTAAAATCGAAAACCAGAAAGGTCGGACACATGCATCTTGTTGTTCATTGTTGCTGTTGCGTAATGAACTCTTATCCATTGTTGCATTTATTTTGTCAAGTAAACGAGGTAGACTATGATGTTATCCTTGCATTAGTTGCCCACAAGTATAATTCACTACGTACACCATCGCACAGCTTCACACAGCGGTATCCCTGTTACCAACATTGAAGAAACTAGATAGCGTGCCCGTGACGTTGCTACATGACAACTAAATTTTTGTACTAGAAACACATGGATCACACGATAAGATAACGTTTTGAGTAGCCTAACTACGTTGGAAACAAATCATATTCTAGAGTGACACGACGATTCACAATTAGACTTACTTCCAACAACCAGCTTACTAACCGAGACGAATAAAATTATATTCCAATAACTTTCTTTTTTTGCAACTTGCACATTGCAGGAATGTCATTCCACTTGCTTGCAGTACCATGGATTTGTATGCACACTAACATGGGATGGCAATGTCCTGAAAATCCTTGTCACGCCCTCCTCTCAAGCTCCTCCCTAGTGCACATACTCTGTTTCTCCAGCACAATCGACACACGTTGCATCAAACTTCACAGAAATCAGTCACCAACAATGTAAGGAAGTGGATTTCCCTACCCCAAGCGTATGCAAAGCTGTTCTTGTCCACCGTAAGGAGATGGAGCTCTCCTATTACTACTTGTTCCATTAGCAACACCACAACCAAATCTCTCCTTTAAGGTGGAACTAAAACACACCTAGATAATCTTGATGCTGCCAAGGACATCGAGAGGTCACAGGGAGGTCTCCAGTAGGTGAGAAAGCACTCCATGATGGTTCGACCCCCACATAAAGATCTCTGCATGGCAAGAAACACAACCATCAAGTGGGTTTTGTTAAAATATGCACGAATAGATGACATCATATGTCTAATATAAATTCATTCGATCCTTGGACAGTTTGGCTGCACAGGTTAGATAAACATGTATTGTGATGTTGTTTGGTTCAGATCCCGGGCAACTTGCCAGGGCCTGTTAGTTGCTTGTGGTTGATCAAGAAATTACCCGGTCTGACAAACTCTGATTTCAGGCTTTGCTTGGTTGAAGCCCTGCAATCATGCTTGTGTGAATGACAGGGGCAGGCAGTGGTTTGATTGTTGTGCTCCCTGTGAGTCCCAGTAAGGAACAGAAGCATGTCGCACTATTTATATAAGAGAAGTTTTAAAATATATGTTTGACAGTTGTGTAGTTCAGTCATTCTATATTCTATATTAAAGAAAATAATATCAGCATGGGTCTCATGAGTAAGAGTATAGGACTGATTTATATTTAGAAAAATTCTGGTGCCAGACCATGTGCCAACAAAACTCAGGCAAACATGACTCTAGAAAACTCAGGCAAACATGCCAATCATATGCTAATATTTATTTTTTTCTGCTTCTAGAGCTGTGGTTAGCTACTGACCTACTGTCATAGGCATAATCACTAAACAATGTCTGTTGTTACCTTATTATCACAGGAGCTCCGAATCATTGCCCTTGGTACTGTTTCAAATGTCTCCAAACCTACTGTCAATAAATCGCAGGCACCTACAAATGCAAGCAGAACTGCAGATGTTAAACCAAGAATAACAGAACACATGTGTCGGTGCAAAAAGTGATCAACACGTAAATATTTGTAGTTTTGCTGTACGTTGTGATCAGAGGTGGCCTAGCACTCAATGACACAAGGTTTATATTGGTTCAGGCAATGTGCCCTACGTCCAGTTTGAGTCGGTCGGTGACTTTATTCCTAAGCTCAGGTGCTCGAAGTTTATAGTGGGGTTACAAACGAGGAGAAAGATAGGGGTACAAAGGGTCCGGTCGGACTCTGGTCTGGGGGACCGAGAGAGACAGGAGCTCCGCTATGTGCTAAGTGTTCGAGCGTGTGCTCGAGGTTTGAACCTGGTGGTTCTGTTGTGGTGTGTTAGTGAACTGATCGATCTCAATGAATTGAGTTCTTTTTTGGAAGAGAGCGTATCCCCTTTTATAGATGAAGGGGATGACTTTATAAGTGAGAGGGAGAGAGTGCGCATGCTACTAAGTTTTGTTGCCCACGCCGGCGGGTACGACGATGGTAGGCGCCCACAATACTGTTTAATGTTAGATGCACGTGGGAGGTTGCGTCGTCTTCTTCTGGTATGACAGACGTCGGTGCCTGCCATAGTGTTGATGCCCAGAGGCACGTAAGGGGTTTTACCATGTTCGCCTGGTGTGATCAATGCTGGCGCCCACAACACTGTTGATGACTAGAGGCATGTGGGGGAGCCTTACCGTATTTATCTGGTATGGGAGTTGATGGCGCCCACAACACTGTAGGGAAAATGTCGGCGCATACAACACTGCTTGGGTTCTGTCATAGAGGTCATAGGGTACTGTCATGTAGGTGTACAGGGTACAGTCCTTGGTATTGCTGTTGACTTGAGTGCCCTGCCTTACTTTCTCCGTCTGTTTCTTGGGCCTTACCGAGCGGGCGTCCCTAGTCGGTTGGTCCTAGTCGGCTCTGATTGCGCCAGTCGGAGAGGAGCAGTAAGTAAGGGTTCGGTGCATTCCCGGTCGGAGAGACGGGCCGGAGTCGGAAGTGGGTGCCGTTCCTCCTCGACCAGGCCTTTCGGTCGGAGAGGCGGGTCGAAGTCGGAAGCGAGCGTCGTTCCTCCTTTAGCGAGGCCTTCTGGTCAGAGATTGGATCGCCCTTCTGCTATGTTCTCTTAGGTATTTGGGTCGGCCCAAGAGTTGTGCGCTGTTCACAACGTTGCCTACTGGGCAGAGCTCTTGCTGGGAAGACGGTCCCTGAGGGACTCCGAGTTTATGAACCCGATAGGAGCCCCCGAGCCCCCAGGCGATTTAGGTAGAATCGTCTGGAAAATTTTTATTTTGACGGCGGGTGCGCGCGAGCACACCCGCGGGTATAGCCCTCGAGTCCCCGGGCGATTTGGGTAGAATCGTCTGGGGGTTTTATGTTGCTAGCGGGGGAAGTTTTGTTTTGTCAGCGGGTGCGCGCAAGCGCACCTGCGGGTGTAGTCCCCGGGCGATTCGGGCAGGATTGCCTGTGGGGTTTTGTTAGCGGGCGTGTGTGTACCTTTTGGTTGAGACAGAGTTGTCAACCAAGGTGTCGTGCGATCCTGGCGTCGGTGCAGTCCCGCACAGCCGAGGCAGTTAGTTTAGGGATCGGTCGAGAAGGAGCTCGTGGATCCTGGCGTCGGTGCTGTCCCACGCAGACGAGGCAGTTAGTTTAGGGATCGGGCAAGACGGAGCTCGTGTGGCAGAACCGCCTAATCTAATGCCTTCCAGAAGTGCTTGTCTTCCATTAAACACTAAGCACTCAAGGGAGAACACTAAATTACACAGTTCCGTCGGGCACACCCCATGGGAGAACCCGAAAATCTACATTTTTACATCAGGATCACAAATGATATAATAAAGTTTACATCATTCTTAACCATTTCCTACATCATTTTTAATACAACATCATAGTATAATATTTATTATTATAACAACGAAATATAATAATATTATCAGAGTTATTAACAATTTAATTAAACAACGGAATATAAACAGGTGAACAGAGTTACAGCGGAAATAAACATCTATTCATGGCATGATGAAGCATTGATAAATAAATTAGGACAACAGATTATAAAACTTTCATTTATAAAAACATTTAGCGAGAGTTATAAATAAAGACTATGATCGCAGCGTAAAGAAAATCCTCTCTAAGCCCACCAGGAGGAATCCACACACAAAGGTCAGCTCTAGCATCCACCTGTCACCTGCAACAGGGGAAAATAAAACCCTGAGTACTCAATTATACTTAGCAAGACTTACCCGATAGGAGGAAAGAAAAGACTCCAACGATATGCAAGGTTGTCTGGCTTGTGGGTTTATTGCATCTGCAGAAAACATTACTAAAAGTGCGTCCTTATATTCGATTTTCATTAACAGCCGCATTAGTTCATTAACCAATCATTCTATATAAGCACCTATGCTACTTTCAAGCAGGTGGTAAGCAATCAAATTTCTTTTTTCCATCTTTTATTTTTCAGTTCTTACTACGGTGCTAGACCCAAAACAAACCGTACCGGATCGCCCGGCGATTCACGAATGAATGCCCCCAGCTGGGTACCCTAAAAACACATGCCCCGCTTGTACCTAAGGCACAAGCAGGACCAACCCATCACCCTCCTGTCCTGGGTGTCCAGGTCCCTGCCAAACTGGGACTCCAAGCCCCCGCGCTTGAGTCCCGGACTCAGTACGGTGCAAGGACCTCCTAACCCAAAAACCACCCTGACAGTCGGTCCGGAAAGAGTCGGGTCCATGACAAGAGAGCAACAAGTCTTCCAAGCGCCCATACACAAGTATGTGCTCGGGATAATAAATCTATGACTTGCCTCGAGACTTATGCTACGGCCAGTTCTTAACCGACACAGACAGGGAAAATAGTGTAACCAAGCTATGCCCCGCGTCAACGGCGACACAACCTCTTACAC